CCCCCCCCCCCCCCAATCGACCCTCAGTTAATACATTTAAGATAAAAAGAAAATTATTATCAAACTTTAAGTTTCCCTTCCTTTCCATCGGCTGCCCACACTGCTGCCACCTCCGGGAGAGAGAGGGGGGCGGCAGCTGTGAGGGCGAGCAGAGCACTTGCCTCGGGAAGCCCTGCTCCTGCCGCTGGCTCCTCGGGGCCATGGCCGAGGCCATTACCCCGGGGATTCAGAAGTCCGTCCTCTTTGTAAAGTGAGGACACTGGACTAGCCCAGCAGTTTGAGTTGATGTCCGACATCCTGAGCGACATAAACAATTTTGAGTGCCCTTGACCCGCACAGCAGCCTTCAGGTCCCAGGGTCAGGTGCTCGCCCCCACCTCGCACCAGCTCTGCCCCCCGCCGTGCGCACGGGCGCATCCTTAGGCCGGACTGGCCTGACTTACACGCTGCCCACAGCCCGACGATGGGTGTTCTTGGAGAAGTCAGGATAATAAGTCTGCTTGAAATTCCCGTCTGACCGGCGAGATTTGGCGTGGGTTTTCATTCTTCACTAGTCATTTGAATTTTTGAAATCTTAGGCACTGCTGATACTTCATTGTTCACTTTACTCTTCAACTAAATTTCAATTGTAAGGTTCTCAGAGGCAGAATCTACGCTTTCGAACTGTGTGTTCGTCTCTCCCTCCCGCTCGGTAGCATGCAGTGCTGAGTGCATCCCGGTCCCTCAGAGACAGTCTCAGGAGGGGCTTAAACATTGCCGGTCAGGTTTTTTTGATTTTCCACCGGGATGTGGTGTGTGTCTTTGTGCGTTGGTTTCAAACGGCAGCACAGTCACCTCACGGGTGCCTTTCTGCAGCAATTAGAAGTGTGGGCTTCGGGCGCCAGCCCCACCTTGTGCTGCCAGACCTTGGGCGGCTGCCTTCGTTCACCCTCTGCCTTCAGGATCTTCAGCCCTAAAAGAAGGCTCGTGATCGCACCTAAGCGTTGTGGCGGGTTGTGGCGGGTTGTTGTGAGGATTAAGTAAGCACGTGTGTTGAGTGCCTGAGGGCACTGCCGGAACTCGGTGAGCGTCAGTAAACGTCAGCGGGATTGTTTGTGCTAGACATGGCCTCAAAGATTGGAAAGAATCTGACATACCAGTATCTTAGTTTAAAGCCTACCAAAGATACAAACCAACTTCCAAGAAATTTAACTTCAGGCAGTGACGTCAGTTTGCTAGTAATTAATATTACTACAATTATTAACCTTCAGCCAGGTTATCAATAGATGACATTGGTCAACAAAATTTCAGGAATATTTATGTGAGGCAACTAACAGAAATGTGTAGATAATGCAGTCAGATCTGAGGGAGGGAGAAGGAAAGTGAGGAGGCAGGTAATTTAAATTAAACCGGGAGGATTGCTTTTACACAGAATTACAAAATCACACGATCTAAAATCCTGTACACCTCGGCCCTGAGCTTTCTAATAACCGAAAGCACTCAGGGGAACAAAATCAACTGAAAGATGACAACATCTGTAAAACAAAACACATTCTCCCAGGGGCATTCTCAGGGGGATTTGATCACGGTGGCCTGTAGCGGATGCAGCCCTCGAGGTGAGGTGACAGAAGTGCAGTTCCCTGAGAGCAGCTCCTCGAGGAGTCCCCTGCTCTGCATCACAGCTGAGTGGCTGAGCAGGACCCCTCATGAAGCATAGGCCCCGTTTTAGCAACTGTGGCCTTGGACCCTGTGTCCCTCCTGTCCATTTCCTACCTTCTGCTTTGATCGGCTGCCACGCCTCACCATGCCAGTGACACCATGTTTGTTAGTGAGCAGCAAGCACTGTGTAAATCTGGTGGACATGTGTCACTTCCTAAGTATGTCACGTTGTGCATTCTCCAGCCTTCCCTCAAGCTGTGTCCTTCCCATTTTATCTCCTCCCCTTTTCTAAATGAAATCCCTGCTATTATTCAAGATTGAGCCCAAGTCCCACCTTTTCTAGGACACCTACCTATTTGAGAGTGTTGAATTTCTCCTCTTGTCTGGTTTTAATTATTTTCTCCTCTTGCCTGATGCATTGAAAGAATAGGTGACTTTCTCTTTGTCTATATGCTTTGGACTCACTGAACTATAAAAAAAAATAGGAAATTTTCTAACCTAAAACCAAGAAATGAGAGCAGACTCCACCTTGAGCAGACAGCTGTAGGGTAGGAGTTCTGTTTTATGCATGTGGAGTTTGGATGACAGAGGAGGACCAGGTTCGAGCTGTGTGAGCCTGGCCAGCACTGGGCGGGACTCGGTCCCAGGAGCCCCCCTCCTGGAGGTAATCCTTGGGGCGGGGGCCTGAGGGTCTCTGAGCGCCACTGAGGAAGGCTGTGTGAGACAGATGGGCAGTGGTTGGCCTTCGTGGTGTTAGAAGTTTGTGCTCAAGCTTTTTAAGGTCCTCTACCAGTCTTTAAGAAAATAATTCCTGATACATGTTTTCTTGTCTTTTAGTTCTTCAGTGAATATGAGAAGTTACTTCATTCAGAAAACTATGTGACAAAAAGACAGTCACTCAAGGTATGGCTGATTATTTTACGTATTTTACTTCTCTTCACCCTGCGCGTGAAATTTGTGTTTGGGGAATGGGAGATATGCTGGTGTGGGTCTTAGACCTTTGAGAGGAAAATAACATTTGTCCTTGGTCAGGATTTTTGTGGAAACGAAGTTCAGCTGTGGTTGGCACAGGGCACCTGCCCACCTGCTTGTAAGTGGAGAAATCAACATAGAATATGCAGAATTTTGAAGAGGTCTCTACCTCTTAGCAATGCAGTATTTTAGATTTGGAAGCCTGTTTTTGAAACTTAGAATCACACCAACTAGATGAAGTCTTGGTAGCTGTTGTGCTTCCGGGATGACGCAGGCTGTTGCATGAGGAGGGGGCGGGGCGGCCGTGAGCAGTGAAACCTTCAGCCGCAGGCAGGTTTGGCCGCTTTGTATCAGACCAGGACATGCATACTTCCATTTGAAATTTAAATTCAAGGGGCACCTGGGTGGCTTAGTAAGTGCCGGCTCTTGATTTCAGTTCAGGTCATGATCTCACGGTTCGTGAGATTGAGCCCTGTGTTGGCCTGGTCCATGCGCTGACAGCACGGAGCCTGCTTGGGCAAATTCTCTCTCTCCCTTTCTCTCTGCTCATGCACATACGTACACTTTCTCTCTCTCTTTCTCTCCCTCTCTCTCTGTCTCTCTCTCTCTCTCAATATATAAACTTAAAAAAAAAAAAAGAGTTAAAACTCAGGAATAGGGATTGGCAAACTAGAGCTCATGAGCCAAATCCAGCCCAATGCCTGTTTTTGTAAATAAAGGTTTATTGGCACACGGATACATTCATTTACTTCTATATTATATAAGACTACTTTAAGAGTATAACAGCAGGTTTGAATGGTGGCCGCAGAGACTCTATGGGCCTGCCAAGTCTGAAACATTTACTGTCTCTGGTCCATTACAGAAAGTTTGCTGACCTCTGCTCTAGAAAAGTCTCCTTGCAGTTAACAAAAGCATACCCCTCACTCTGTCAGTAAGTGGTGCTGACAGGAACTGTGGGTACAGCTCACAAAGGATTGGGGGTGGAAGGCGGAATCCTAACTCCACCTGTACTTTTTGCTGGGTCCACTTCAGATTCTGTTCTGCTCCGAGTTGTTCCTCTCAGAGGTGTCCAAATTCATTTTGATCAGGACTCCATTCCTGCTTGCCCTCCTGCCAGAGGGAGGTCACTCTTCAAGACCTTACCTTTCTCTGGGGATTGACTAAAGGACCTCAGGAGCCTCTTTTATACTTTGTATCCTTTGACTAGAACACTCTCTACCATCCAAATGTCCAAAAGAATCCCTTCCATCTGGCCAGATCCTTCCTTCTTTTCTCTTAAGACTAACTCCTACAGTTGGGGACCAGTAATAGCCACAGCTTGGAAATATATCACGGCCGAAATGGCCCTTCAGGCTGGGGTGCCTTCTGCTCATTGCCACTGTTGGGGCCTCGCCACCCAGCCCATCCTGTCCTCTCTCCAGGTGCGCTGGCTGGGCGATGGCCGCCGGTAAGGCCAGTCCTTTCGTCCTCAGGGGTGGGGGTGGAAATTCTGGCAGCTGTTTCAGGAATTTTTCTTCCCTGTACATCAGTGTACTATAATGTCATATATACTTGTAATATTTATAATATGATGTAGGCTCCCCTGTGATTCTCAACACAGTAAAGTGACCTCTTCATATCTGAGGGCCAGGATGCCCTGTCTCCCCAGCAGTCACACAGGCATGAGCAGCTGGAGGGAGCCAGTGTCTTCCAAGGCCAAGGAGGCCAGGCAGGACTACCTAGGATAGTAGCTTCCAGGGCCAGTACCTCTCACGAGAGGGGGAGGAAGGTAGTGTGTCCGCAAATCAAATTCTGAATCTTGGGGTTGCTTCGATAAGGAGAAGGGCATTCGAGACCTTCTGGCCACTTTGCAGTTGCCAACCTGAAAAGGACGGTTAAGACCGCTGTGTGCGAGCCCTCGGCCACGGACGTGGGGCCGGTCCCCGGCTCCCACGGCTCTGTGACACCTCAGGACGCGTGCAGCGATTGTGAGAACCAGTGGTACTTTGAACATGGATTTTTACTTGTGCTCTTTTTTTCCAGCTACACGGGCATTAAGTGTTCTTATATTCATTTTACCAGCAAATGTGTATTCCCTGTGCAAGACCTCCAACTTGTTTGTTTAGGTCTCAAGAAATTTAAAGAATTACCAGTTATCCTCCTCCAGATAACCAAGTGAGCCATGCTTGGTATTTCTTTGGTTTCTGTGATAGAAAATGAACACCAGGAAAGCTGTACCCCTTCACGTGCTCAATAGTAACTTTTGAGTCTTCGTAAGAGTAAATACTTGTTGCTTCTTACCTTGAAAGTTGTATATTTTGGGTTTGTGGTGTTTTTTTTAAAGTTTATTTTGAGAGAGTACATGTGCGCTCACGCATGCTGGGGAAGAGCAGAGAGATGGGGGGGAGAGAGAATCTCAAGCAGGCTCTGAGTTGTCAGTGCAGAGCCAGACTCAGGGCTCGACGCAGGGCTCGAACTGATGAACCATGAGATCACGTCCTGAGCTGAAATCAAGAGTCGGACACTCAGCCGACTGAGCCACCAGGTGCCCTGATAGTTGTACATTTTGTGATTCAGATTGATGTGAAACCTGAGCTTGAGCTTTTGAATTCTTTCTAGAATTTCATTATAAATCCTAAGTAGAATAGATTTGTTCTCCTGCACATCAGGTTATTTTTTATTTAATATTACATATTACTTATCTAGAGATAGTTGTCTAGAAATTTTCAACTGTCTAGGACACAGTCAAGAATCCAGAAAGGAATTAACCAGAGCAATTAATCCAGGGCAGAATAACTCTACTCATGCATTTTCCTTCCCTTAGAGCTCAGTCCATGTCTCTATGTAGACTCCAGTCCCACGTGCCTTGCACATATTCGTGCTTTTATTTCCCACTACGCATGTATCTCATGAGGTATAGGTACTGTCATCCACTCCCACTGTGGATGATGAAACTGGGGCACCAGGAAATTAATGTGCTCAAGGTTGCATAGCTTACAGGCAGTGGGGAGCCAGGATTCAAGCCCAGGTGGGCTGATGCAGGGGCCCAGCTTCTGCCTCTGCCTCTTCCTCTGCCCCTGCCCCTGCCCCAGCCCCAGCCCCAGCCCCAAGGACTGCAACTCTACTCCTCCTCCATGGCGGGCACGCTAGACCTCACCTAGAAGCTGACTCACTGACATGAGGAGGTGACTACTGGCTTCAGACAAAGAGAGCTAGAGCGAGCAGGGACGGTTGGAAAATCAGGGACCGATGTGGTATAATGACTCTAGAACTCAGTAAGCCCTGGAGACACAGAAATTTTTTTAGCTTAATATCATTAGTGATGATGAATCATTAAGAAAAAACTAGAGTATCTTCAGGATAGTTTGCTAAAGAAAGAACGAACAGAGAAATACTCATAAACTTTCCTGAATCAGGTATGATAAAAGCATAACTTTGGCGAGTTCAAGGGTAAGTGTGTGGAAAACTTTGGCCCTGAAACACTCTCTCCTGGGAAATCCAAGTAAATAAAATAATTTTAATTAATTACACTAAGATTTGTAGTTAAGTCAAACAAGAATTATCAATAACCTATCTTCTAACCATTTTCTTTGATAGTTTTTTATTTCCGTTTTTGTTTTTTAATGAGACAACAGGAATGCTTATGTGAAAAGTAGGCTGTGACAGTTGCAGATTCTGGGCCAAATGTGCGCTGGCACACGTCAAGACCAGGGAGCAATGTTGGACTCCCCATAGGTTAAGCCCCCAGAAGAACCGTGTACGTGGTCGGGTGGCAGGTGGTGGGCTCTCGGTAGCTTGTAGGTCGTAATTCGGTTCCACTCATCGGTCTTTTGGTGCCTATATTCTGGGTTTAACAGTGATGATTATAAAGTGAATTATTTTTTTTAACTTTGGATTTACTTGAAATCTTGATGATAATGTAAGAGTAATTGTTTAAATGTCTTCTCAGCTTCTCGGTGAACTACTGTTAGACAGACACAACTTCACAATTATGACAAAATACATCAGTAAACCAGAGAACCTCAAGTTGATGATGAATCTCCTCCGAGACAAGAGTCGTAACATCCAGTTTGAGGCCTTCCACGTGTTTAAGGTACAGCATGGGAGCCACAGACAGGATTTCCTTCTCCAGTTGTTCATCTCACTGCATTTACCACTAGCTGGAGTTTTACTAGCTTCGTATTGGTCATCTGAGCTCCTATTTGTGTAGCACAACATTTGACAAAAACAGACCCAGAAAGGTCTACCATCTGGACTGGGGGATGAGGGGAGAGTCATTCATTTCTGATGTAGACTATTACTGATCACAAAGTAAGCATTTTTAGTGCATTTTTTAATGCTTTTCATGGAGGTTTTAGTACTTGGAATCCATTCTGACTTTCCTTGCCCAGAAATAATTTCTGCCCATTTTATTCTAAAACCAGTCTATATTTTAATACCAAGCTGCAGAATTTCAGAGCATGAATGAATCTGTCAGTCCTTTTTGTGCTGAAACATGTAATTCTCCACCTCACCCCCCCC